TATTGAGCTCTTTGGATTATATCCTACTTTGAAATAGCCATACGGATTACCAAACAATATCACTAACTATATATATATATATATATATATATATATATATATATATATATATATAAATAAATGAAACTCAGTTGTACACCATTATAATGGCCATTTCGCCTCGCAGGATAATCTCCATAGAACTTGTCAATGCTAAAGCATTTCTTAAGATGAATTTTAACGTTTTTCCTTTTTTTAAATTTGACAAATACAAATTCTAATTTTTTTTTTTTAATTTTAAATTTTTATTTTTCAAATTGTTTTTAAAAACAACATTGAAATTCATTTTTTTAATAAAGGTTTTAGCATTGACAAGCCCCGAGGAGATTATCCCGGGAGCGAAATGGCTAACAAAATGTTTCATTTTTGTGTAATTCATTTATATGCTCTATAATAAATATATTGAGCTCTCTTTTGTGGATTACTTATTCATGGCCTTTTACCTGTACATCTTCCAGCAATCGCTCCGTCCACTCATCAGGGGTACAATATATATATATATATATATATATATATATATATAGAGAGAGAGAGAGAGAATCAAAATGTGTATAATGGTCCTATGGAGACCACATTTGATACTGGGTTAGTATTTAATGTTGATGGTTTTATATATTCCCTGATGTGATTAAATGAAAAATTTCATGGGCAATCATTCAGAAATTGTCTCCTCGTCTCTCTCATAGTGTGTGCCCTTGATCCTACTTCTCAGAGTGTAATGAAAAAATGCTGACGGGGTGAGTCGGATCTCGGGCCACCATGCTCTAGTTTCTTCAGCAAAAGAATCAGGTTATATTTCATGCTAATGTGAATCCCATCCACTTCGGCTTGAAGTTTCTAAGCGGACAATTTAATGCTCAATTCTGAAGTATCTTTCTTTTGTTACTTACGTTTTCTTCAAAACCTGCTGCCAACATTGCATCATAAGTCGTGCGATACATGACATACTGAAGTGTATTGAAGGCTCCACATGCTTTTAGAACAGATATCACTCTGTCTGCAGAAGAAAAATTAACATTAAATATTAAGTAAAGATCGTGATTAATGAGATTTTAACATAAATTTATATTCATTTTTTTTATTAAACCTATTTATACAAAACCACAGATTTTTATACAAAATGAATTATTTTCTTCAACTTATTATCATTTTGGATGTTTGGCATCATTTCTTCGAAAAATAATTACGAACGCAAAAATATTACACAATACTTTTATTGGATGCTCATATTTAAATAGATGCTACGTTTATTTTTATTTTAAACAGTATGTCTTTCGTCTACTGGCCTGCACACTCAGAAAAATATGTGCCCTGCGTTATGATTCAAAACTGCGTCCTCTTTTGCAGGAGAAACCACCGTGTGATCCGATGTGTTTTAACTGCTCGGCTACGAAGAGCTTCAGAAAGAAAAAGCAAGGTTCTATTTTGCCTTTAAAGCCCACTCACTCGTTCAGATATTCTCGAAATGTCACATCTGCTCAGTTTTCTACCCGAAACATAAACAAAGCAATTTCTAAAGAATTAATAGAGTTTCGTTTTTATTCGATACATTTTTATTACTTTAAAATGAATAATTTTTCTTCCATTTTATATATTATCATTCCTTGTCATTTATGTGACTGATACCATTGAAGAGTCAAATGATAAAATAGTTATACTTATCATTTCTAATATTATTCGTGTTTATTTTTTGTTCATTTTAAATGAAGTGAAATTTTAAGACCTTATTGAGGTTATTCATTTGCTTACTATTAAAAATCGTCAAGTTTCACAAAGCCTTTTGAGTTGGAAGAGACAAATAAAAAGTAAATGGAGTAGATTTTATGTGAATTATAAATCGTTCTAATGTGATCTAGTCTCGTTTCGCTTCGTTTATCTTTCCCAGGTTATTTAATGTCGAATTATGTCATCAGCATAAGCAATAGAAAAGCAGACATGTTTAATTTGCCCGAGCAAGATAGACATAACAACAGAAAACGCCTCTGCATAGGGAATGAAATCGGGGTATTCTTTCTGGGTGGAATATTTATTTTAGGAACTATTTCTTAATTATTTGTCACTGTAAAAGCAATCATAATTCCTTAATTATCTCTCTTTCTCTCTCTCTCTCTCTCTCTCTCTCCCATTCTTTTGTTTTTCTTTCCACCTCTTTCTCCCACCCCTCTCTCTATCTGTCTTTCTATCTATCTATTTATCTAGCGATCTATGCTATGCCCATTAAGAACATCGGTGATCATGACTCCAGAACTTCTTTAATTTTGTTGCTTTCAGCAAAACTTTCTCTTTTCGGTCAAGCATTTTATTTGTCATGCATTTCTCCTCCTCCTCCTCAACCTCTTCTTCTTCCTCTTCCTTCTTCTTCTTCTTCTTCTTCTTCTCCTCCTTCTTCTCTCGCATTCCAATGATGTATTTCGTTGTAGTCACTAATTATTCTCTTAATGGTCCAAAGTTTTTATCCATTCATTCAGAAATCATTCTAAACAAACACCAATTCCAAAGCACTAAACATCCAATGGCAGATTCCAAATTCAAAGACGGACAACTCGTCACTCCAAACTCTTCTTTGTACAAAGTTTTCATTCTGTACATGCTATGTGGTTACAATGCATTTCCACCGGCGCCATTGATTGGGGTTCGAGCTTTTACCAAACTAACAGGCTATCTCATTCTCTCAAACTGAAACGATAAAAATGTCCTATCATTTTTTGCCCTTCTTACTAATCTGACTAAATACTGAGAATATTTTGTTCTATTTATGATCTAGGAAAAGAATAAATACATATATTGCCTGCATTATTTATTTATTCGGGCTGCTATCCTCATTTTCATTTCCATATTCACAACGTTTCGGCCGTTGTACGCTTCGGCCTTCTTCAGGTAATTGGAATTTAGAACCGTACCGTTTATTTCAATTCCAATCACTCGATGAAGGCTGGAACGAACATCGGCCGAAGCGTTGTGAATATGGCAATGAAGATGAGGATAACAGTCCGAATAGTGTAAATAATGCAATAAATCATAATACCTCATCTCAGAGATATAGACAGAGATATATTGCCTGTTAATCTTTTAAAAAAGATTCTTATATGAAGAGACATTGGGTGAGCGTCATGCCGTCCAAATTTGTTGTCTTCACTAAAACGAACGAAAAGATATGGTGTAAATTATATACTTACCATTAACACCCGAGAAAAGACAAGAGATTCCTTTGTTTTTGTATTCAACATATAACTGAAATACAAAACAAATATAAAACAGATGATATACCAAAATAAATGGAGTTTTATTACATCCGTTTATGAATTATATGATCGACCTTCTTCATTATTGCAGGATTACATCAATATTTCAGTTTTATTGTTTCTTTACAAATGATACAAGTACTTAATTTAAATATTTCTAATATATTACCTGTGCTCTGGGTCATGTATATAATAAAAAGTAGCATTGATTTTTTTTTTTTACGTACAAGCTCACTCACGCCATAAGATACGTTTCATAATTGAATTCCACCAAACCGGTGCTAAATGAATTAAAACAATACCGATGTAAATCTGTGAGGATCTGCAGACATTAGGGAATGCTCGTGAGTCATTTAATTCAAATGCAACATGAAAATGTAGGTGGAAGTGATTCTCTGATAACATTTCTACAAAATGCTTACGTAATGCCTCACTATTTCGATATTTTAAAAAAGTACACACTTTTTAATTCATTTCAATTTCTTTCTTTCAATATCGAATATAAGAATAAATAATAATTTTATAATTATTTGAGAAAATCGGATTGATTTATACTATTGTTCATCTAATACAATGTCCAAGAGTAACTCAAGGTAGAGGGATACTGAATGTGTTTGTTGTATCAGCTCAACTAGAGGAAGTAAGAAAGATGTAGGATAGATAAAGATTGGTCCTAGACTTAAAGAGGTTAATATTTACCTGTTGAAGTGCAGTTGCACCCATTCTGTCAATGAAACTTATACCGGAACATTCGATAATGATTTTCTGATGAAACCTATCTTCGTGTAAACTGTTCGCAGACTTTGGATTTATTATAATGGAAAGGTCTGTTGAAACCTGAAGAAGAATTAAAATTCATTATGTATAAATTAGGTTTGACGTACAAAACGTTAGGAACTTGAAATAAGCGTTAATGACGCAGCAATCTAGTTGTGATGGTTGGTACTTCAATGCCCGATATCGTCTGACTCGCTCAACACTACTGAGTCCAACTGGCGACCGCTACTACTACTACTACTACTTATTATGTGTGGGAGGGTCTATTAATAATAGAATAGGGACGTCAGGTATAACACAATGTCAGGAAGTTTATTCTTCTGTGGCATATTTGAACCAATACAGAATCTCAGTATGACCTTATATGATTTGGGATCAGTCTGGTGCTCTTAAAAGTGAATCTGAATAAAACGTTCATACAGTTTCAGGTTGTGATGGCACTAAATATGTTGACTTCTTGTTCTTTCTTTTATACTTCCTTCCTCTTTTAATTTCTTGTCGTTGATTTGAAGTATGTCGAAATTTCATAGCTTCATTTATTTGTTTCTATTTTTGTTTGTTTTTACTCATTTCTTATTTATAATGCTGTCTGCATAGTTTACAGACATTCTTCCGAAATTCAACGACTGGCTGTCATTTTGTCCAGTAGAAGCTTTTAGATCAACACAAATTCTTTCTTGTCTTAAAGAAAAATAAATTTATGTTACCAAAAATGCTTTGAACTTTTGCAAATACACATATAAATAGTTCATTTGTACATAAAACAGATAATATATAAACATAGTAACGGTTCCAGTAAAAGGAAATATCCTTAATATCTTTCTCTCTCTCTCTCTCTCTCTCTTGTTTTTTTTATCTCACCTGGAGTTTTAGGTCTGTACCGGGATATTATATAAATCTTAATTAGTCTGTTGTTTAATTAGGCGTTTATGGGAAAATATATACATACCATTTGACCATTTGAGTGTTTATTCACTTTCTTGAATTTTTCAGTTTTGCTGTCAATTTCATTCCGGAAAATGTCTACGTTGGCATAATAAAGTGGAGATGAGTATGACACAACTTTTATTCCGGCTGGAAGTGTCACCTGTCACAAATTAAGAACATGTTATCAAAAGCTGTCAAAATATGACATCTACCAGACAACACTGCCATTGCTTCACGCATGCGCACAAACAAATTCTCATGAATAGATTTAAATATTCAACAAAGATAAGGATTAAGAAAATTATCATAATCATGGATTTGCTTCGCGATTTCAGAAGGTATGCCATGTCTGATACCAGAATCAGATGGCGGGAGAGGCAGTCCGTCTTACAGCAGTTGCAGGAGAATGTCTGGCAGTCGGAAAAAGTTCCTGATTTGCATTGTTGTTTCATCTTTTCCTTTTGAGCAATTTCTGTTGGGGAAGAATGTTGCTTGTAGTTATCTCCCCCTAACTGGCAGCTCCATTTTCCAAATAAGTTGATTGAATCCGCCAGATGATTGGCTTCTTCATTTTACTTCCCTTCGTGGAAATTTTTAATGATTGAAATTTTAGGTTAGCTGTGAGGCATAAAATTATCCGTGCAGCAAAATCAATTCCATTTAAAATAACATTAAATTGACTTCAAAATAATATTCGTTTCTGCTTATGAACATTTTCCTCAACGAATAAAGCACAGTTACATTTTATTTAATTATATATTCACTGTTGTTTGCAATGATTGTCGCCACTTATCAGGTAGCTCTTTGATATCTTTTGATATATTCCGCAGGTTTCGATAGGAAAAGTTTTCGACGGACTCTTGAAATTGGTTTTCATGACAGGAAACTTTCCACCTCAACTCATTTGCAGCAATCGAAAAGATAATAATCGGTCGAAGCAAAATGGCAGTTTGGGTAAAAGAAACCAACCAAGTTCCAGTTTGTTTTTTGGGTTGGGGGGGGGCGTAGTCATGCAAGAAAAAATTTTCCCTTTAATTTGCTCTTGCACAAACTAAGGTATGTTAATGTAATCAAAATTTATTCCATACTAACACAACAATACTATTTAGTATAGTACATTCAAACTTAACTTTTTTCAAATTTTGAAACAGATATTTATATATATATATACTTTTACCAAGATTTAAAAAAAAAGAACTATTTCTAAAATAATTCAATTCATTTATAAGTTCAGAAAGTTTCATTAAAACCCGACAATTATCTGATTTTAGCAAATATTTCCAAATTAATGTATTTTTCACCGCAAAAAGACACTAAAGATTCTCATATTACTTTATAGCCACCTACTGACTCAAGAAAAAAAAATTAAGAAAAATTTTGAACGTCCTAAAATGAATTACAAAAATATAATTTAATAATCAAATAATTCTTCGGTCTTTCCTCTTAATAATAACAAAGATTTTGATGATGAAACTTTGTTTTGATTAAGTTTGGAACATTTTTTCATCAGGTAAACTCATATTAAGCGAATCTTTGAAAGTATCTTTTTATAATCTATTCAGAAATATTTTATTCAATACAACCATTTGGAATGTGATTTCATGCAAAGTTCCTATTCTTATGAATAGCTACCATACTTGTCATTCTGTTATGCAATTTTCTTGTGTTGATTCAGAAGATCTGGAATAGTTTCCTACTTTAAGACAGAGTGTCCTATGATTCTGGTCCCAACAATTATTCCATGGTTAAATCCTGTCTGTGTCGCATGTTTGCCAAAACTAAAACTACCATAGCTACACTACTTCTTTACTTAATACGTCACACACATACCATTCAGGTAAATCATTTTCTACAACATACCATTCACTATACTGCTGTCTCTAACTCTTTTGCACTTCAGTTTAATATGATTCAACATTAAAAGTCTATCTTAAGGAACATTCAGTCTGTAAGTTGAATGAGTACAATCTTCATCGTTTGCTCCACGTTTTTGTCCTGATAACAGAATAAGTTACACTTAATAAATAATTTGACCTTATTGTCCTGAAAACACATTTGAGGCGAGACTGGAGAAACCGAAATATAGAAGAAGGTTGAAGATTTTCCAAAAGCTGAAAAAGTAAATTCCAAGGATTTTTTTTTAATTTCAAATATACAATGAAGAAAATTAATGTTGTGATATTTTTTTAATCATTTCAACCCAAGCAAGGCAATAATCTCACTGAGATGCAAGGGGTTATTGCCAGTGAAAGAGAATGGGAAACCTTTAAAAGAAGGAACTAGAAATCCAATCCTAAAAAGGAAACAAGGGATAAACTGCTACTCCTGTTCAAAAGACGGGTAAGTTAAGTGAACTGGTCGATAAGCGAACCTATCTGCTCCTAATATGAAACAATTTTTTCATGCCGATATTTACTGCAACATATATATATATAAAAAGGAGAAAACACTAAAACAATATATATATATGTTTTCTCCTTTTTATATATATATATATATATATATATATATATATATAAAAGGAGAAAATATATATATATATATATATATATATATATATATATATATATGTGTGTGTGTTTTCTCCTTTTTAAAACAATTTCAGCCAAATGGAAAGGGTAAGTGGTAAGATTCACACTGCTTGTACAATCTGACCTCTTCCCCTCCCTCTTTCTATTGCCTTCAATCTATTCTAATTTATTATCATTAAAGGCACGTGATTTAACTTATGAGATCATTAGGCTTATTGGAAATAGTGAATCATTTAACTTACCCCTTGATATTTGGTCTGATCCAAGAAGACTTTTGTGTTATTGATTATACCGAGAGACACTGCTTCCACCCTGTCGACAAATAAAAACAACAGAAAAAAATACAAAAAAATGACCGAAGATATTTTAATAACGATAAATGCTAGCAAAAGATACGAGGATTATAAGTTTCATTTTATTTAGTTTTACTTTTCTGTAAAACACTTAGCATTGTTTCTTATTGTTCTGAACATGATGTGAATAAACATCGAAACATTATCAACGGAAATTCGTTGAACAATAATTATATACACATCTTACAGCATTTGTGTTATCTTCGGCTCGTTTTCAGTGGTTCCATATTACAACCCAAGATATCAGAATGTGTATTGAATATAATATCGTATTTATTACACATATTATATTATAAATGGATATTCAATGGAAAAATCCAAATATAGTACAAGGTCAAACTCAATGTGAATCTAATAAAGAACGAACCAATTAATAATGGCTTCTGAGTCAAGCAGGTGACCCTAGATAGCTCTATGATATTTGACGTTGATAACATATTCTAATCCTGAAACATGATGTGTACAGGTAGCAATGATTGACGGGACGTGAAGGGAGACAAAACTGACATTGCTCATAATGTAATTATTGAGTCTTATCAAAATGTGCGTACCAAAGTGTTCGCATGATGACTGAAATGATTCCAAGGACGGCACCAATGAGCAGGCCGATGCCAACTGAAGTGAAGATAACAGCAACAAATGTGGCAATCCAAATCACCTGAAAATACAAGAAAGACATATATTTTACATATATTAGCAATCTTTGCCTTATAAGTTTTTTCAAAAGATAAGTTTTCGTTTTAATTGTAATGAGATCCAAATAGTCCCTAAGTACTTTTTATTTGTCGGTTGAAAACTTTATATTTACAATTCAGTCTAAAGTTTTATTGATGACCGCCACCGAGATGTAACCGTAAGTTCTATACTAACGGTCTTCTTCTCACACTTCTCGCTTGTGGAACTCACTTTTCGCTTGTGGTATTCCCTTCAATGCTTTCCAGTCAACTTTAATCTACAAAAATGTAGATGCAATGACAAATACTATCTACTTGTCCTTCTGATTACTCTCCTTTTGTTCTCGCTGCTTAGTAATGTTTCTGTTTTCTAATACTTCCACACCCAGTAACCCCTTGTGTCTTAGTGGCTTTACTGACTTACTTCGGATGATCTCGATTAAATATATATATATATATATATATATATATATATATATATATATATATATATAAGTGTGCTTATTTGCTTGCACTGCATATGCACTTGTTTATAACCCTCCCCCATACGTAGTACAAATACGCAGGTTGAACTTTTTAATGATTGATTCATCTGCCTCGGTTCTTATACATGGAATGCGAAGTTAACATCAGATGTTTTCACAATAATATCATATAAATTAATAATAAAAGTTTTCCGTATTTTTAGACACGATTATTGTAAAGGTTTCTTTCCAAATATTGATAATCAAAATACATACACCATCATATTTACATATTCTCCAGATTTTCGGTAGCGTAAAGACCTCTTTCATCATTGTACGCAATGATACAATAATTATACATGAGAGAACACACTGAAAAATAAACAAAGAATTTTATCCATTTAAAAGAGGAGGAGCTTTTAAAAACAAAAAATTATACACAGGAATTAATATTTACATTATCCATAAAATAACCGAATGTCATCTTTCAGTCATATTTTCATTCATTGCTAACGAGTAACAATTCTTTTCCTTTTTTCCATACTTTCAGTGCACAAAAATTGATGAAGTAAATTTTAGGTCAAAACTGAATAAAACAGTTGTAAATCATTCATTTTTCCTCTGTCGCCAAAAATGAACATAAAGTGCTCATCGCTAAGCGTGGATATGGTGGGATAGTGGTAAAAAAAAGTTGGTAGCGATAAGAATCTTGCTTATGCACCCTGGCTTCAAATTAATTTGGCGCTAAAATACAACAATGGTTATCATTTTCTTTTGTCCACTGTTACTGTATCATTATTTCCGTCATCGTCAGAATGGATGGAAATTCTGGTGTGTTTGTTTAATAAGCACAAGTCATAAATTATATTTGATTAATAAGACATGTTGATTAAACTTCGAATGATTTTCATAAATTTGGATTTTAACTGATGAATTATTTCTGATGTAGTAAGAATTGGATTTAAAGTCTCCTAGTTCATTTTTTAATCATCCGGTAAGGGACAAAAAAACAAATTCTTTTAAGCTGAGGAAAAAACAAAGAAAAGAGAGTATATAATTGATAATCAAATCCTAAAGTACTCACAATTGGTAAAGTTTTTAGCCATGGACCCGCGACAAAGATGACGATGAGCACAAAAAGCGCTCCAACCAAACTGGAAACCTGAATAAGAAAATTTGTTAACTTTATTTTTAAAAATGGCAACCGTTTAACTGCATTAAACTTTATTCAATAATTTACAAACATAAATGAGGAAAGTTATTCTGAAAAACTTACACAAAAACATAAATTATGAATTCTTGATGAAGCATAGGTTACCTCGATTGCAGCAACTGCAAATATGCAATCTCTCCCCACCAGAGGCTTACTACTATGAGGCGGCTTGTTGACTCGGGGCAGGGTTAGTTTACCTATGAATTCAAGTATCAACACGATCAAGAATTACCTATTTTCTTAAGTATAAACCGAATGAAAGTTTACCTATGAGCTCAAATATAGATACCACCAAAGATTTCCTATTTCATCGAGTGTAAACCCAAGGAATGTTTACCTATGACCTCAAATATAGATACGACCCATTATTAACGTGGAGATTGTATGAAGAATTAATGATGAATCTAAAAATGTACTGAATACTCCATAAAATCCAAAAGGAAGAAACGATTAAAAAATCATGATAAATGATTTAAGAATTGAAAAAGAAAATAAGAGATATTCAGAAATAAACTGATTATTTACATTGTTCAGACTGTTGTCCTCATCTTTGCTGACATATACAGAACGTTTCAGCCGTTGTACGCTCCGGCCTTCTTCAGGTGATTCGAATTTCGAACTGAACTCTTTATTTCACCCACTATGCCTCTTCCCGATGTCTCACTTATCTCCCTTTAACTCTCCAAGATTTTATTTACCACTGCAGTAGCCAGGTAATGAACTTAAAACTCTTTGGGTCAAGTCATTGGACCCAACCAACGTTTTCATCCACTGGGCCATGTCTCCGAACAATGTAAATTATGTAACTAATTACAATACCACATTTCAGAAATATAGACAGATATATAAACAGCGTATCACTTCCGACATTTGCCTGAATAACAATAGCTACATTAAGCGACATGGAATCTACGAAACGCTGGAGTCATTGTGTGGGTATATCTTTCCAGGCACGTTTCACAATTGCCTATAATTAAATAGTTTGTGTTAAATGTGGCAGCAGTTAATTTAGTAATTCCTGTAATATCGCATACATGCTCAGTGAAGTTTAAATCTGGCGGGATTTCACTGGCAATGGAGTAATATCAACCAGCCGAGCGTTCGTGAATCCAGTTTCGTGACAACACCGCGCGTAGTAAACAGAGGTTGCGTTCTCTTTCTGATACAAGAAAATATGGCAAGATAAAAAGGGTGCATCGAGATAGACGCCAGCTTCACTCGTAGGCCTTGGAAACTTCAACTACGCAAACCCCACAACAGTTTCATGACGTCTCCTCTACGCACAAACTTGACTGTTTTCTTTAAAGAGCTAGAAAACGCAATTGATCAGAACAAACATGATACCAGTTTTTCACAGACCAATGGCGATATTCTCTAGTCCATGTGCAGTAACCGGTAATATAATATCAATAATGGTAGCTTTGTTGGTCGATTATTACGAAACCCTATGACAGTTTGTAGTGAGATATAATTTGATGCAAATATTATCTTGCTGCCATTCTTGTTAGTGGCTGCCTATCCTCGTCTTTCATCATCTGTATTCGCCCTGTCTTTTCCTGTGTACCGCTGGAGTTTACCCGGAATTTATGGATTCATGGTATACCCTTGCTCCTGTAATCCAAGGAAAACCTAGAATACTTAAGAGATTGTGTCTTGTATTTCTGATCCGAAGTTTTATTCCACGGTGAAAAAAATTTAAATCAAGCTTCTTGCAGGGACACTGTCATAGCTACACTATATATTAAGTTTATTATGTAGGTGTGTGAATACTGTGTGTGTATGTACCCGTATACAAGTGCGTGTGATCGCTAGACACAAATACGTTTTTTCTCTTACTTTAAATCAATTTTATTTTATTGATATAAGTTCAATAAAACCGTGTGTGTTATCTTCCTAGTATAGTAAATCGAGCCTAATATAACAAATCTGCCCTAGTATAGGAAATCTACACTAATTATCTAAGTAAAGCAGTCTTCTTATAGTAACATCTAAAAAGATTTTCAATGGTAAACGTAGAATAAATCTAAATATCAACAGTTACCCAAGCTGCAAGTACATAGGGAAGTAATTTCAGAAATGTATCTCTGGTGCCAAAAACGAGAAGAGGTCGAGGTATTTTCATCAATTTGTTGAATGATATCATCGACCTGGAAGTTTTTAAACATATATTCGATATTTTATTGAAACTTGTTCGTAAATAGGAATTAAGAAAAGATTTACCTGAGATTTCGCGCCGCATCCGACTTGAACGCTGGTTCGAGATACTGCCCCAGTAGCCGTAAAACAGCCAAAAAAAGAAATCACGATGTTTGTTATTCCATAGGCATATAGTTCCTGAAATAGCAAGACTATACTGCATTACTTGGCAGAACTCCATGGTGCATTTCTTGCAGTTTTCGTTGAGAAAACAAAATCTACAATCATATCCTTATAGTACAATAATACTCTTTAATCCGACACTACGTGATTCGGTTACTCTTATGACCCGACATTAGTTTGAATCAGCCGCCCTTAGCTCGTTGAGCGACTACAACGACAGTGCCACATGTTGTTTACAACTTCCCGCAGCAGCCGACAGCAGCAGAATTTTGGGGTGCTACTGTCGTGTCCACTAAAATATTTACAAACGAATCACACTCAAGAAAACATTTACACCTTAAAACACGCCAAAAAAATCATAGAATACAAATCAGAATATTTGTTTTATTAGTCATCATTATTTTTAGGTAGATACCGACCAAATATCGTGCGGACGTAATAGAAGACATACCACGTGACTTCTTAGGGCCAATTAGGAATAAATAAATAATTTAATTCTGGAGCCGATTTTGTTACGAAAAATTGTATAAAAACATACGAAATCCGTTCCCAAACAGGATACACACAGCTGTCACCAAACTCCACGCAACTCTCACTTATGATCTTCACGACTTCATGCTAAAAACGACAACGTTGACAAGATTCAGACTACAACACCGCCAACAGTAAGAAACAATTTCTAACGATCTCTTGTATCCGCTTTACTATGAATCACGCACACACGTGTTGACTTTTTCATACAAACACACATACCACAACATTTTATTGTTTCTCACATACGTACACAAAGACAGTTTATATTTTATTTCAGAACTTTATTAACCCAAACAAAATGACATTACTTTTCCAATCTATCATCAACTTCTTGTATTCTTGTCGTTATATTAAATTAATGTTTATTTGTTGAAACTACGTTGTCTTTTCTACTGAATTTTATTCCTTCAATAAAAATCGTGTGATTATTCTAGACGCCCAAATTACGAGCGACCCTGTAACGATATTTTGTTAATGTATCGAATCCCGACACTCCAAATTTTAACATTCAACGAAAAACCCAGTAGAAGGATTCCTACACTACGGCCTTACTCATTTCTTCTAAATAGCTGCATATTTACCCAATCAGGATAGTAAGAATATATTATTTTTTGGTTTTAGGCTTCTTCTTTTTTTTTTTTAGCCTTTGGATGACATGAAACAATAAAAATCTTGTTTGGAAGTATTAATGATTGTTTTATTTCCTGTTTTAAGTTTTTGAAACTTTTGATAACACGGCAATATTTATGTGCAATGAGCTGACAAGACTGTGCCTACATAAGCATTTTTATAGGCGAATTCTGTCATCCGACAGTTTCTGTAGTCCGGCAGTTGCCTAGTCCCAAAGGTGCCGGATTAAAGAGACAGGAATGTACTGAAGTAAACAGCATTATAATATTAACCGATACGAATGAGACCCATGTTTATAAATTTAAGATTGGGAGAAAAAATAATTTTCTCTTTTATTTTCAAGAACGTCGTCAATGATCGTATTCAACGTGAAAAATATTCCGCTCCAAATTTTTCTCTGATTTTTACATTTTAAAATGGATTGAGAAAATGCAAGATGGTGGTTTCTTGATTGTCACAAATATATGAGAAAGTTTTCAAAACCTTTACCTTAAAAGTTCATTATTATTGAATGGAATGTATATGAATTTTTCACTTCAATAAAATCATTAATGAATTGATGAGTAGTAAGATAAAATTTAATATAGAGTAAAACGTGCGTTGTGGAAATATAATGAAATCCATTTCTGTATTTTGTTTGGAGAATGTTCCATGGAAATATTCAAACAATAAGAATCGGAATCCAAACTAAAACTGATAAGAGGTCACTCAGGTTCGACATCAATTCTTAAGGCTAAGGTTAAATAAGCTATTCTACACTTGATAGATAGATAGATAGATAGATAGATAGATACTAGTGCAGATATCTCGTGAAAATAACATACCACCTGAAAATAGCCTCTGAAAAACCCATAGTCAGAAGAGTAAAGAATTTGTTCAGTACTATATATTGCTCAATGTTTTAGTCTATCTTCATACATGTGAGAATATAATCAATTGTCAAAGATATATATATATATATATATATATATATATATATATATATATATATAGAGAGAGAGAGAGAGAGAGAGAGAGAGAGAGTGAGAGAGTGACTGAGTGACTGAGTGACTGAGAGAAAGAAAGGAAGAGAGGGATATTGGCACAAATCATCGCCCGATTTCAGCCTCTAAGAGTTTCTATATAATTACCAAAACATAAAATACTTGCCTGGTTTGCATCAATATCATAGCCTTCTTTTCGCGAAATAAAGAGCGCCACAGAAATTGAATAAATGAATGCTATGAGACCAATGGATATGCTATCGGATATGTAATCTTTGGCAAGAGAAATATCAGGAACGAATGGTGTCGGCAAGCTTCAAATTAAAATATAAAAAATAAACATTCATTTGCAGTGAAATATTTAAAACATCAGATTCAGAACAAAGAACGTTAAAATGCCACCGATACTCAAAGAATTTCAAATGATTATTTGGTTACTTATTTTAATGAATCATTTTACTGACAATGATTGATACGTGACTCAACCAATACTTAGTACATTATTTCAACAAATTCACAATTTAAAACTTTAAAATTAGTTTAGTAGGTAATACTTAAGTTTTATACAAATGGCAACGTATAATGGACACATTTTTATTTAGACTTATTGTTTCCAAATGTCCATTTGTACAGTATAAAGGTTCTTTAGCAGAATATATCTCTAGAAAAAGGCCAAATTAAATTTAATCCGGCTTTAAATTCGGCGAAAATCAAATAAAGTAGCAACCTTAACTCGTCGACTGGAGGGTTTTGGTAAGGAGTGTGGCTGGGGTAGTGTTGAGGAAATATGACATCTGTCAGAAGTATTGATCATAAAATTGTACAATAAATTAAATTAAAAATTCACAGATAGAGAGATACATAAACACACTAACATATAGACATATATACAAACACACACTCGGGATAGATACACTTGTTATTTAAAAATATCTGGCTTAGTCTTCACTCTTTTTTTCTTACATGTCTGGGAAAATTTGTAAATAAATGTTTATTTTTATAGAATTGTTGCAATTAATATTAAAATACGAAAATGTGATTTTTTAATTTCATGCACAAATATTTTTTTTAAATTATATATTTTACTTAGAGGAAAAAGAAATCCTTTTAGCATCTAAGTTATATCAATAGTATATTTTGTTTTGTTAAAGAGTGTAATGAGCCCCCAAAACACTGACTACCTAGAGTCGCTGCTGATATATATATATATATATATATATATATATATATATATATATAGAGAGAGAGAGAGAGAGAGAGACAGACAGACAGACAGACAGACAGAGACAGAGACAGAGAGAGTGGCTGATCGCTCATATCCGAGTATGCCTGTTCAGTATGGCACCTACCCAATCCTTGTTGCAGACGCCTGCTCAGGCATATTTTTGTTTGTTCAAAACCCATACAGCCCTTGTGGTTTATATTGCAACTATGCTGAGCGGACCTCAGTCACAATCATAGTCACTGGGAGAGAGCACATTATCTGGCATGTTCAACACTCTGAACAGGGCAGTACGCTCAAGCCATCGGTCACGATTAATTGTGACCGGCAAATATATCCTCTAAAAAGGATTAGCGATAAGCTGTCTTTTGTTGAGTTTTGACGTTGTGAAACGATTTTTGCTCTGTCTAGACAGTCTAGGCGTTGAGCACTTTAATTTACTGCGTAGGTAGGTGTTTGCCTTTTGGTCGTTATTATTCTTTCATTGTTCAGGATTTTCTTCTTCTTGTGTAAGGTATTAGGTCGTCTGGCAAGTTGTCACTCCAACTGTTGAGAATTTAGCGTATATATATATATATATATTGAATCAAAGGAATAAATTAGCATTAAAATATCGACATAATAACAAATTCAAATTGACATAATATAGATGTTACTTTATTAGTTACTATATTTCTCTAACTCTTCAAATGTCGAATGTATAACTAATTCTAATTTCTATATTTCCATTTTTACACCATATTAATTATCCATATATTTTAGGGTTGTCTTTAAATATAACCTTATATTTTTAGGTATAACTTTATTTTTTAAATATGACTTGTTTTTATTTAACTTATCTTTAAAGTTATTTTATTTATTTATTCATTTATATCATTTTTAATTCTAAATGTATAATTTATTTTATCTTATATTTATATTTTTATTTCTAAATATGTTTTATTCTTTAATATAACCTATTTAAATATAAACTTTTTTAAATATAATTTTTACTTAATTTTAATATAATTATCTAAATATGACTTATTTCTAATTTATTCAAATATATCTTATTTTTAAATATAACTTGTCCTTGGAAGAGTATTTTTAATTATTATTTTGTATTTTTAAACATAATTTTATCTATCTAATTTACCCTTTTTTGTTCCTAGATCAGTTTTAATATTTTTATACTACTAGGATCCACTTGGATTGTATACTAAAGGATTTATTACATTTACTACATATATATATATATATATATATATATATATATATATATATATATATATATAAATATAAATATGAAAAGTGCTATTATTATCGCTATATAAGCTGTAAATACTACAAGGAGTGTCACTGATAGCAGTAAGACACATGAGGTGTTTGTGATATTTCACGCTGAGGTAAATATAATGATTTGATTGTGTCTTCATTCGTATGTCACATCACCGCTGACGATTTGGTAAGTATTTCACCAGAGGTTGGTCAGTGTGGATAAGTTTGTGACGACATTTTTCAGTGTAGAAAGAAGTAGACTCACGGACATACATGGTTGTGAGTCTTTCTCAAGTGAACTAAATTTTTCATGCGTGCTGACAGAATGTGATATTGTATAGCCTCGATCAAAAAGCTTCTCATGACTACTGGCGGCTCTCTAATAGTGTGTGTAAATAAATGTAAGTCTTCTATCCCTCCTTTCGTCATTCGATTTGAGGTGTTAACATTTTTTGCTGATAAAGTGTTTTGTTCATAAAGTCTCTTCAAATTCTACTGTTAACGCATCTGAAGTATCTTTGCCTAAATTTCCACTTAGAAATGTGTCTCTAACGTGTGATATGTCTATAACTCCATCTATGGTTTTTGTAAGGGTTCCAAATATGGTTTTCCCACAAAGCATATGGATTTTAGGTTATCCCTGCAATAGGGCAGGTTGATTTTTCACTTTCTTTAGAAAATCATCTTTTCACTCGATGTGTAAGCTGGGGTTTGAGTTAGTAATTATTAACTCCAAAAATTTATATTCATATTTCTTATCAATTTTTGAGCATTTAGTTTTGAAATTCGTCAGAAAAAATGTACGGAAATACTTAATTTCCGCAGGTTTTTCCTTATAAACTGACTTCAAAATTTTACTATTTCAAGAATGAATCCAAATAAAGTGAATATTTTTGTATTAAATGCATTGAATGGAAAATATATTCAAATTGGAATTCTAATTATGAATTATCATAAGCAAAATATACAATTTTTAATGTATTCAATAAGTAAAAACTAAAAAATTGTAAAAGATTACAAAAAAGGCTACTCAATAAATATGATTTGTTAGATGATAATTAATAAAAACAAAAATAGATAAAAGTGTATATAACACCATAATACTGTTGGGCACAAATTATAAGACAAAATGTTTTAAATTTGCATTGTTTATTGGATATCACACTAAAACGACTGCACTTTATAATATATTACGTTATAATATATTACATTATAATATAGCGACTATTCCGTATAATTTCCCTTTGAAGTAAATAAATGTCTATAAATGGCACAATAATTTAGTAATAATGTGTTTGTACCATGCATCTTGCCCATATAAAATTTGTAATTCCAGCGCTACGATTTTTAACCTAAATTTTAACTCATCTCCTCAAAAAATGGTAAAGATTTGGAAAAAAATATATTATGTCGTTATTTATCATGTCAAATCCCAACTTTCAAATTGAGTGCAATGTCACGGTTCTAAAATCAACAAGCCCTGTCTCTGTAATGGTCCTTAAGAAATGTACCCGTGAACTGGCTCCGGTCTCTGAATTCAACAATAAATGCCTGGCTACATTTTGCTTTCCAGCTTGTTGGAAATCCTGTTGTATAGTTGCAGTCTAAGAACTCAGGCCTACCGTTTGATCCTTTTAATTATCAGCCTTCTATCTCTTTAGTACTAGACGCTTTTATCAATTCTGAATTGTTTAAGCATCTCACCTCGCAGGGTTTTGTGTTTCCGACAAGCAATATGGCTTTCACATCTCTAGGTCAACTGCTGACATAACTGGTATTGCTGAAGGATTATATCAAACTTTCGATAAGAATGGTGAAGCTCGGGCTGTTGCTTTCAATATCTCAAAGGCGATGGACAGGGTTGGGTGTGATGGTCTTCTTCACAAGTTGAAAAAGTCTACTTCTTACTATACAAACATGTCTTCCCAAACTTATCCACACAACCAATTCTGGTGGATTTCTTAATATATTCTAATTTCTGAACGAATTTTTCATCTGATTAAATCCTTTTTATCAAATTTCAAAATGAAAGTTGTTTTGAACGACCAATCTTCTAGATCTTTTTTTTTTTCATTAATGCAGATGTCACCCAGTGCTCTATCCTTGGACCTACGTTGTTCCTAAGTTTCCTCAACGACCTTTCGGATGTCATCAGTTCTTAATATTTTATCTATGCTGATGAGACAATTATTTGTTCATGTCTTAGCCATAAGTCTGGTTGGCACGATACGGTTAAATTAGAAGCTGATCTAAAAAAAAAAAGAAGACATACAATCTGTTGTTAATTGGGACAAGAAATGGCTTGTTAATTTTAACGCCTCCAAAACGAAACTGTTGTTTCACTATGTCGTGTTAAACCATTTTTTCTCACCAGAATATATCTTACACATTTATAAGTGTACCATTCGTCCATGCATTGAATATTGCTGTCATATCTTGTCCGTGGCTTCTTAGTGGCTTTATTGCCTTACAGTGAAATTATTTTTTAAAAATCTGTATATCGATTTTTACTTTTTATATAAAGGCAAAGTAGGTCCCAAAAAGTTAGACGCAATAAAATCTGGGATATATATATATATATATATATATATATATATATATATATATATATATATATGAGTGTGTGTGTGTGTGTGTGTGTGTGTGTGTGTGCGTGTGTGTGTGTACAGCGCAGACCAATCGGCGTATTGCCCAACATGTACAAAGCACGACCGTCAAAACATCAGCACACTTTAGAGGCAGTGTATATTAAATTACACACACCGTCTTTGTGCTGACAGAAAGACAAATTCATTCGTTCTCTTTCTTTACTGGCATACGTATTAGTCTCTATTT